TTTAACTGATTCACAGCCCGGGCTACTGAACGTTAATTTGATTGACTCTCGGGGCGCTAGTTTGCATGTCAGCCGATTGGGAAAATCTTTTCTTTTTCTTTTGCATTTTCCGCTCGCCGCTTCATTGGCTGCTGCATTCAGGTTAATGTGGTCCGCCCGGGCTGTTCCAGTTTTTCCCAACGCCCCGCTCTTGTTTTCTGTTTTCTGTTTAGTTTTTTTCTTCTTCCAGCTAAACGCATTTTCATAATTTCCAGTACAGTTCCGGCAAAAGCCGCAGCCAGTGTTGCATTTAACGGTGCAGCCACAGCGTAAGTGTTGTGAAGTGTAATTATGACAATGTCTGAAACTGCCCACACTCTTTAGTGCACTCGGCGGGGCCATTAAGCCATTAGAAATGCTTTTTATTATTTAATCTATTTGAACATTTTTCCAAGCAACGCCGTTCGCATTTATAACTCAATTAAACGTGCAGAGAAGTGCCGGGGAAAATCGGAAATCGGGCCGAAGGAGGAGCCGCGTGGATCATGGCCAGGCAATAAAGCAAATAATATTGCAAAAACCACAGCAGGCCCACAAGGTGATTTTGCCGCTGACCTGGCCGACTGATCGTGCCTTCGGTTGGATCTTCGGTTTTGTGAAGCTGGGAGTGAGATCCTCTGAGCCGCTTAGTCAGAAATCAATTTTACGTTTCGGTGATCCAACAAATGAGGCTCAATTTCGATGAATTGCAAGATGGGCAACTGATCTTCAACTGATCAAATGATATATGGCCAGCTTCCAGGCATCGTGGTTTTCATTAATTCACCACTGCCTTGCAAAATTCACAATTGATTTCAGGGCGTGGCTCTCCGCGAAAGCACTCATCTCCTCTAAGTACTCAAACGATACTCCATTTAATGGTTCATTAGGCGTATTCATTAGGGGTATTTTTTGGTTATTATCTTGGCTCTTTGGATATTTAACGAAATGTACTAAAATACCCTGTTTTTAGTTCATCATAATTTAACAAATGGTTTTAAAAATCTCCTAACAATATTTATTCCCCAAAACAGTTAAGCAAGTAAATAAGGTTAATTATTACCATTAATAAATTTAATTGAATTGAATCTCCGATACTTTACTCAAAAAATAATATTTAATTTAGTTTTAAACAATACTCAATACATAAAAAAAATTTTTTTTAATTCAAATTTAGCTTTCTGGTTTCAAGTGGTTTTCCCAATTAAAATATTTTCATAGAAATCAATTCAATAACTAATTTTATAGCTATCTTCAATGGCATTTCCTCAATAAATTATCTTCCGCTAACTAAACTTCATCCGAATTCCAAGCAATTACAGAAAATCCAATTCGTGTCTATTGTCATTGATTTGAGCTTTTGAACTACCAATGATCCCCTTACACAGATCTCATCTGCCATTAATTCATTTAAAAAGAGATCAAATCATATTTGTGGTCAGTCAGAGATGATTTCAAAGTCGTGCCTTTGCAAACTTGTAACTATCCCTTAAACCAATGGATCTACCGAGAGTGATCTAACAGAAATGATCTGGAAATGCACAAGTTCAGTGCCAGTTCCACTTTCGGTTCCCAAGCGAATCTCCTCCAATTATCTAACTCTGTGCGAAATGGGAAATCCCAAGCTTACCTTCTTCTTATTATCGCCAACCAATTTTGTGGTATGCTGATCATCTTCATTCAGACTGGCCGAGCAGGGATCACGATATCTGGAAGAGGATTAGATTTGCAGGATTAATTAGAATCCGAATGGCGGGAGTGACAAGTGGGTAGGTGCAATTCCGAGCATCCCAATCTAGCAACTCACCTTGATGGACAGGCGCACAGTGGTTGGGTGTAGTTGAGTCTCACGTAGACAGCATTGCAGACTTGCTGAATGGCGCACTCGGGCAGCAGATAGATGTGCTGATTGTGCGGATAATAATGATATTTCGTTGGTTTCGCTGTCGCCGTTTTCTGTTAAGAAATAAGAAAATATAAGAAATAAATGAAAATTCAGCTCCTGTTGTTGATTGATGTGGCCAAAAGGGTTTGCCTCTGCCATCTTCAATTTATTTGGCTAGCAATTAAAGTGGCTAGTGGTGTAAAACCCTTTTGGCCAGGTGGCAAATGTTTGCTCCGCAGTCGGGGGGCTTCTTGTCGAGGCGTTACAAAGTGTTGTTTGTCTACTGCCAGCTTTCTGGCATGGATGAAGTGTGAAATTGACGCTCCATCCCATTTAGACCATCGCCCTGCCAAAAGTTTTCTTTTCCCACTTTTTTACTCCTGCCATTTTTCGCAGAAGTTTGTGAAAGACATAAAGCATGGTCTTTAAGATAAATACATGAATGTCTTGGATATTTCAAAACAAGCGTATTTTAATGTAAAAAGAGGTTGAACAATCACAATTAAATATTCGCGATAATTGAAATTAAAATATTTTTTATATATTTTTGGGGATAAAACATTTAATAAGACAACCCCTACAATGTGAAATAGATGAAAAAATATTGATATAATAAATATTGAAATAATGATAAAGGGATTTTAGGTTCTTGGGATGCTATATCAATATGAATACCTTTCTTAACAAAAATACAATTTTCTAAAAATGTTTGAGATAACTTTAGACCTTACATGTATATTTATGTACATTGCCTTAGCACGAGTGAATAATACCATAAGTATACTCATATATCTTTATTAAATGTTTAAAAATTTAGTTATTACTTAAATAAAATGACTAATTTAGGTAAAATATTAATTAAAAGCTTGAACAATTTATTAAAAAGCTTCTAAAAGGGTATTTAAAGTGGCAACTTTCCAAGCCGCAGACAGTTTTTCCTATTTTTTAATAACCAAGAGAGATGCGAAAACGGTTAAAGTATAACAAAACGGGAGGAAAAGATGGTAGACGGAGTCCAAGCACTTCTGAGCCGAGAAGAGGCGACTTGAGCTGAGTTAAGTTTAGTTGATTTGAGTCGCGTCGCGTCGAGTTGCCTTGGCCAACAAAGCAGGTTAATGGCAAACGAGACCCTCACATAATGCCACACAAAATTGCTTGGCTCGCCCTGCCTGGCGTTGCAACGCGCCTTTCCGCCGAGGAAGGGGGAACAAAGTTATTAAGAAATTGATGCAACTTGGAGGGGACCGCGTAAAGTCGAGTGTGAGTATATAGCATATATACCATATACATATATATGTTTATATGGTATGTAACCCTGGGTAACCGGGTAAACTGCCAAACGCACTTTTACTTGTAATTTCCATCCATCTCCCTTTTGTTCCCCATCTCCTTCTCCGCATCCCATTCCCATTCCAACCCACCTGACCCGACCCATCAGCCACTTCCTTCCTGCGAGCATTTCCCAGTGTTTTCCCCACATTGTTTTTCATTTTGGGAAACTTTTGCCGACAGCAGGGGGAACTCAGGATACTCTGTCCCTTCATTTCATTTTTCTTCCCCTCGTTTGACTATTAAAAAGTTTTGCAGCCTTTACTTGAAAACTTCTTTTTTTCTGTCGGCATTTATGACACAATTGAAGGTAGTTTTCATTTCTGTGTGCCACACAACTTTTGCTTTTCGGTATTTGTTTAATTATTTTGTAATTTGTTCTCTTGTCCATCAATGCGTGTAAATTCGTGGAAATAAAAAGAAGGTAAGCTGTTGGAAATGGAGCAAGGGAATTTAATGATTTCATTAGTGAATGAAGAGGGAAAAATAATCACTTGCTATAGAGAATGAAGTCATAGAGAAATTAACGTAATTATACTTCAAGGGAGGTTAATACGATTTGAAAAAAGTTAAAAGAATATGGAGATTCGCTGATAAGTGTGTGAAAAGCTTTCTTAAAGTTTTACTATTTACGTGTGAGTAAAAGATTATGATTTATAGATATGATTCTAATCTTACGGCATAATATCAAGATAAAAGAGTTTTCTTAAAATATATGTTTTTTTAATTATATAAATTCTTGTATAATTATGTCGAAATATCAACCAGATTTATGAAGATTCCTAAAACAAAATATTTTGATATACGTTTTAGAAAAAAAAGGTAAAAAAGTTACAAAAAAATCTATTCCCAAAATATATTTCCCATTTAACCCTATTTATGCATTTTTATAGCTTTCGTCATAGATCTAAAATACTTATTCCTTCATTTATTTTTACTTTCCCATTAAATTTACAATTTATTCGCCTCCAAAGTTGTTTCGATCTCCAGACAGCTTTCCATTTGGCTGACAATTTATCGATCTAGTTTAGAGGCGCCTTGAACCCAATTTTCCTTTTTTCTAGCGCCCCGAATGGCAGAGCCAAATTCAAACAATTCCCTTTTCCTACTTAGCACATAATTGAACTGAAAGCATCATTGGTTTAGGCCAAATTGCCGGGCCATGATCCGCGTGGAAAGAAACGGTACTTCCCATGTCAGTCATTTGCCATTCAGGCATTCAGCTTTTCAGCTTTTCAGCCACCTACTGTCAGGTAGGTCTCCTTTCGGGCTTTTCCAGCTCTTATAGCTTTTCCAGCTTTCTGGCTGAGAGTGATTTACACTGACCCTGACCATTATTATTGAATTTTTGCCGCTTGTACTTTGGCTTTTCCGTTTCCCTATTTGGCGTCAGCTGGTTGTCGCTTCTGTCCAAATGTCCAAACTGTCGCCGCCAATGCTTTTGTTTCCACTCCGCCACCACTGCCTGTCTCTTTCACTTTGGCTAAGTACATTTTTAAATATTTACCATGTACCAGAGAGAGCGGGGGGGAAAAGTCCCTAACTAGGCCCTGGGCCAAAAGAATTTTCCACGAACTGCAAATTAAAGCGTTTGCCTGCTGTATGTCCGCTTTTCACACAGGTTAAAGTTCAGCCGGTGGCAGTTAGCAAGAGATACTCCCTGGTACCTCTGCCTGTACTTCTTTTTTTTTCTGTATTTTGTACATAGTTTCCAGCTTTTTCCCTGCCCACCCAAGTGCCACTTGAAAATCGTGTTCTCCGCTGCCAGCTTCCTGCAATTTGGACTGCAACTCTCGGAGTCGGAATCTCGACGCGACCTTTCACGGGTTGTGTTTCTTTTTCTGCACTTCGTGTTTGGGGTTTTTCTACCTTTGCCTCGTTTTTTTCCCATCTTTTTTTTTTTTTTAGTTTCGAGTGCCATGAATTGCGTTTTGATTGAAAAGAAAGTGACATTTCCGTTGATTTTCCTTTGCAAGTATGGGGGCTCTTTAAAGTTTTCCTTTTATGCAACTCTTTCTTTCGGTTTGGCTGCTAATTTTTTTCTATTTGCCATTTGCCATTTGGCCCCGGCCAAATGACGTGGAAAATGTTAGCCTTTTGTTTGTTCCATAACAACATCGTATGGTAAATAGCAAACAACAAACAGTAAATTGCAGTGGCAATCGCAGAAGCTTGCCATGTGCAACACGACGTATGCGTGATTTGTTTGCTGATGAATGCCTGGCTTATTGACTTGTTTCGATGGACATGATTGCCACTTGATTAGCCGACTCTTGATGAGCCATTGATGGGGGAAATTTTTTATTTTGCCGAAAATATGATGGCAAAAATTCGCTTTTGATTGACTGGATTATGCGCTTTCAAGAGCTTCAAATGGGAGAAATCTAACGAAACCAATAAGATGGAAAAGGGATGTCGAGGAAAAAGTAGATGAATGTGCATTGAAATATAAACTAATTTAAATCCTAAACCTACACGCAAGTAAATTAAATATGCAGTTGCTTAAAAGTGTGACCAAAGTTGTATGCAAAGCAAAACAAATATGCCAAATATTTTTCTAACCTTTTAAACTATTTCAAGTAACTCGGATTATTCCAGATCTTGTGCTATCACCTCCCAAAATCTCCACCAAACTATCTCAAATTCGGTGATAAACTATTTTCTAAATAACAAATTGCCACATTTATCTTCAGCACTTTACAACAGATTAGATTTTCAGTCTCGGCCTTTGTTTTTCCACCTAACAAGCTTGGCAAACAAGTCCTGCAGTCATCAGCACTTCTCCGGTTTCAAGTCCTCCGGCCATCGCATTTGTTTGTGCACCCGGTACAGGAATATATATCTTGTAGCCGAGTCGCCATTTAGAGGCTTGATTTATGCCAGCAGCTCGAAATTTACTTTTAATGAGAGACAGCGGTAGCAGGAGCTGCAAAACACTGGAGCTAAAGTTAAACGCATGTAACTGACAGCAGCGGCAGCTCGTATCTATATATCTTGCAGATGCGAAAACCCCGCCACTTGTTATTCAAATCAGCTTGAAGAGATTTCCAGGAGTGGAGAAAAAACAGAGACATAAAATTTCACCGCCTCGACGACAGTTTGTATGTGTTTGCTACTTCTCAGGCTCTCTTTACTCGGATTGAATGGAAATTTGCATGGCTAAGGCCGCAATTAATAAATAATTTTCATTTTCATTTCGAAATTTGATTTAATTACGTGAAAGTCTTCAAGTGTCTCACACCTCCAACTTTTCGAGTGGGAAAGAACGGAGAATTAGTTGCCATTATTTAAGCTTCACTTTTCTCAGTTTGTTTGTTATTTAATTTTATGCCACAAGTGAAACCGAAATTGTTCGCTCAAGTACACGTACTTTCGTTCAAGTTCTGCGCCCGAGGTATGTTTTTATTGTTATTTATAAAGCGTGAAGTTTCAAGTAGTTTGTCTACTCACGGATGTATCTCTCTTTTCGGACCTTTCATTTGACACGACAAGCTACCGAAAATCTTACACTTGCGCACATTTCACTCGAGTTTGTTGTTAACTGTAGTTTCTCATGCAAATCCCGGCACAAAGCCGTTTGTTTGTTTGTTTACCATTATTTATTTGTTTGTTTGTTTGTTTGCGCAACGCTTTTTCCGCTTTGCACCGGGCAATTGATAATTATCATCATCATCACCATGACCATCATCATCCCGCCCAGCATCCAACTGAATCCCGGTAAAAGTGTGTGGAACCTCCAGCT